CAAAGACCTGATCTACCAAACAAAGACCTGATCGACCAAACAAAGACCTGATCTTCCAACCAAAGACCTGATCTACCAAACAAAGACCTGATCTTCCAACCAAAGACCTGATCTACCAAACAAAGACTGGAGTAGTAACCAAAGATCTGACCCACTAGCCAAAGACCTGGTCCTGTGATGTCTGTAACTTGGTTTATAATAAATCCTTAAGGTGGATCTTCCTCCTGTTTGATGTGTATTTCTTTAATAAAAAGTCAATTATAAAGAACTGTTCTGGTTTTGAAATCATCTTGACTTGAAGAGGGTCATGGTCTAGGATGTTTGCACATCGGGGGGAGGGAAATGCATTAAATTAATATTTACAACAACAATTGATTTGGTAAAATAAAAATATTAAAACATTCAATCAATCAATCTTTATTTACACAGATTAATCACATTGAGTCATGGAGACTCATTTACAAGAGACACCTGTTTCAGACAAACACAAAAATAAGGAAAAGATAAAACACGAGGTGGAGGGGAGCTAAGAAAATTCGTATCTCGCACTGTGTCGTGGCCGGGGCTCAGTGTGAGAGTTGGAAAAAAGACCTCGCACATAAACAGCACATGATGACATCATATACATTTCTGTACGAGCAGGCCGACGAGGCAGTGAGCTGTCCATGGACTGCCAGAAAGTTCCATAGTCCCGATAAGATGGCACAGTGTCCATCAGCCGGCTCAACTCTGACACAGATCCACAGATGTTTTTGGGAGGGGAGTGATTGGGGGGTCAGAGCTTCTCATTCACATAAACTGGCCAGTTCAAGGCCGAGTGGGGAAGCCAGAGTCAGATAACAATTATTTTAGGTCAGGCAGCCTCTGCTTGAATTTCCATGTTTGCCTTCAAAGTTCTGCTGGTTCGTCTCACTGGTGAGTCCAAACAGTCAAATATTGTGGTCGCACCGCCGGTCCAAGCTTGTAGCTTCTCCAAGGTCGATTCCTTCTTGCCAGTGAGTCCCAGGAGCCACAAGTGGCCGGCGAGTCTCAGAAATTGTGTCCAGCTTACGGCTCAGCTCATGCAGCGTCCGAGTGTGAGAGCTCACCGCTCACATTCCTTCACACAGGCCGGGCAGCTTTACTGAGACCAGAACAGCTGCCACACTTGTCAATAAACCAGATAATCGCCAACTCCAAAAAGCAGAAATCCGGTTATCATAAATCCAATTATGTACACGTCGTCTACATCCTCAACAGACAATACAGACAGATACACCATCTTCCACTGGCCCCAGGAATCCATAGTGTATCCAGTGTCCCTTCGGGGTTAACACCACCAGCCTGATGAAGAAAGCTCATCAGAGACTCTACTTCCTCAGGCGGCTGAGGCGAGCTGGTCTGGGAAGCTCAGTCCTCACCTCCTTCTACAGGTGTGCAGTGGAGAGCATCCTGTGCTCCAGCATCAACGTGTGGCATGGAGGCTGCACAGCTGCAGAAAGAAAAGCTTTGCAGAGAGTGGTGAAGGCTGCACAGAAGATGTTGGAGTCAGTCTCCCCACCATCACAGACATCTACACCTCCAGATGCAGGAAGAGGGCCACCTGCATCATGAAGGACCACACTCACCCAGCACACACACTTTTTGCCCCGCTCCCCTCAGGAAGGAGGTTGAGGAGCATTAAGTGTAGAACCACTAGACTGAGGAACAGCTTCTACCCTGAGGCTGTTAGACTCATGAATCTCTAACCAGGAGAATCACTGTGATGTCACTTGGTTGTTTATATGTGATGCTGATGTCATGCTGCTGATGTCATGCTGCTGATGTCATGCTGCTG